TTAACCCTTTGCACTCGAAAAATTATTAATTATTAAAAATTATTAAAATTATTAAGAGTGTAACTGTTGTGCGAGTCTCAAGAATCAATTTCATATGCATAAAATGCATTTTGTCGTATAAAATAGAAATACTATAAGTTAGAAAAACGATTTTATATTTACGATTAAAACAGCTTCGAGTGCAAAGGGTTAAACAAGAGTATTTCGATCACTGTATTCAATAGAAATTCTTTCATTTCGTGCGATCTTTCACGTTTCGATTTCGAGTTAATGAAATGATTTTTATTTTGTGTAATCATTCCAAGTTAATATTCGACAATTTCAGATCTATCGATAGGCTTTCGATAGTTGAAGCGTGTGTATCACGAAATTTGAATAGCTTCGCCGCGCCGCGGGGAATGTCGCGCGTCTCCTCGAGTATGCGTTAATAAACGGCGTTTTAACGCGCGTCGTATTCGGTTTCCCGCTATGCGTTGCGTTCGCACCCGTGGACACCTCTCGATCCCATCGTCGCGTCGTTGTGTTGCATCCTTTTCTAAGCCCAGCGTCCAACGATACACGCACGCCGACCGGCGACGGACCTTTCTTCCTTTCTTTCTCTCACGCCAGCCGCGGCGCAAGCTGCGAGCAGGCCAGAAGCTTTTGTTGCGTTCTGAGTGGGCTCTAGTTGACGAAATATTGACATCCGAGAATAGAAACCCGTTGCGGGCTTTACAGAAGGGGCCCACCCCGCCCCCGGACGCTGTTCAGAGGGGAAGACAGTAGGGGAGAAGGAATATGCGAACGCGGGATAAGGGAGAACAGAGACGATCGAAGGGAAAAGGGCATATACGTATGTTCGACGGGTCTTCTTCTCGTTCTCTCTCGCTTTTTCTCGTTATTCCCCACCTCTCCCCTCCTCGCCCTCTCCCTCGCGGCCCCTCTCCGCTCCCGTTTTTTCTCCCGGAGTTGTATTCAACACGAATTTAAAGGGGGTGGGACTCGGATGACGTCAACCTTCAAAATGCTCCCTATACGTGCTATATCTGGACGTAAGTACGTTACGTGTATACTACGTATGTACAGGGTGTTTCGGAAATTTAATAGAATGACTGCGGAGATTTCAAGGTAGTAAAGTGACTAACGCGAATCCTTGTAACCAACTGGCAGATTGGATTCACTCGTTGGATTAATCGCAATCAACGCGATTATTAACGCTAAAACTTGTAAAGACACACCGATGGAAAATAATTCAATGATTTTATTTCTTTGGGCACGCAGAAATCTGAATAAATACGTCATTACGAGTTTTATAAAGTTTAAAAAATACAAAATGGCCCCTTTAGAAAATTTACAATGATCTTTAGTTATTTAGAAGTCACTTAATATTCGCGTAACCGTTTGTGCAGCGTATTTCTTTTTCGAATTTAGGATAGGAAAAATTAACCTTTACTGGAATGTACGTCTGTATAACTGTGCGTTTTAGTCTGACAAAAATGAGCGCAGCCATATACTTATCAGAGGTAGAAAACGGGAAGGATCACGTTAATCATTTGCTAAATCAATTTTTTCGTCGATCATTTGACCCGCCGGTTTTCAAAGTCAACGGAAGAGGGAGAAAGAGCATCTCCTCTCGTTACTAGAACGAAAGAGAGCCTTTTCCGCTCGCGGTGTGTCCTCGAGACGCGATTATGGCACATCGAACAAAAACAAGTTCTAAATAATAGGGTCTCCGTCGATTTCAACGCGTCAGTGTTGTATTAAAACACGTTTAGGTAGTTATACTGTCATCTTTATGCACATACACGATAGCATGCGCATGCGCTCATATATAAGATGTTCATACATACGGCTACATTGGAAGACCGCTGCAATATTTATGATAATATACTTAGTATAGTAAGTACCTTATTAATTTAATACAGTATTAACATAATCGTATTCATTACATAGTTAATGAAAAATTAGTACGTGAAATACCAGACACCAAAAATCCGAAGAATTCCAAGCTATTTTCATAACTTTTCACTTTAATCCATTATTATATATTAATTTCTTAGTATCCGTTAGTTATGTTCTTGAGTTATGTTCTTTATTCATATTATGAGAACATTTAATTTAGCTTTTGCCAATTTTTAGTTGTTAAGACACGGTTTCATATGCCAGCGCGGATGGTTGGTGCATGCGTATTCGGTTATCATTAGCATTATCGCAAAATCAATACCAGATAGAGCGACAATATCAAACTGCTCAGAAAAGTATAAAGACCGATGGAGGCCGATAGTTGTGTGTAGACGGAATTTACGGAACACAAGAACAAGAATGAAATTCTCTTCATTAAAAATGTTACTAAGATGATTGGATAATATCGAAATCATAATTTTATTTTTAATACAATGGTACACTTTGAATGCGTAAAAATTACAAAGCTTTTCGTGAAGCTCATTCAGGATTGTATCATCATTTAATTGCATTTGTGGAAACAATCTACAATATGCGATCGTGTAATAATATAAAAATAAAATGTAAATAATATCAAAATAAAAATGTATGATTTTGAAAGCTAATTGTGAAGAAAATTACAGATATTCAATTCAATTCTCTATTTAAGCGATTACTTAAAATTATGATCATAAACGGATGCGATGTAATTAAACAGTGTATTTGATATCTGATCAATATTATGTTCCTGGTGATATGGTTAAATTAGCTTTGTTGAGTTTCCACGCGCATACGCGAAACCCCTGTTCGCGTCACGTGGTAACGTGATCTCACGGTAGACACACCAGGTTGCACTCATTCACGTGATTCCCCGAGTTTCGAGGATCCCTTATAACAATGGTCATCGTATACCCTTGTCCTCTGTAACTTCTTCTATATTTCCAAGTAATTTTCTCTCGAGTCTTATTGGCTTCAACTTTAGCTTCTACGAAACAACACTGTTTTAACACATACATACATGCACCGCTCAACGTCTTGCTCTTCGCAGTATTATAACTTTTCCGTATTTACTCGAGCATCACTGCGACTATGACAGTTAAAGTAACAGACTCGTGCTCTTTTACAGAATTTATGATGGTGCATTTAATAAGGATTTGTGTAACTTCTACACCGTAGTATGCACCTAAAGTGAGTAGTTCACTTGGTAGCATCGCTAAAATCTTGGCAACTTTCGGCACCTATATTTTCAATGAAGTTTGTAAAAAAACGAATATTGCATCAAAATCAATCCAAAGTTCGAACCGTGGGAAAACCTTTCTTGCCGTACTTAAAAATCTAATTTTGATAGAGGAAGACGTTGTGGAACTTTGAAAGAACTAAAAGTTCGTAGCTTAAACTTGAATTAATCCAAAATCTGTGAACGTTGAAATATCATCCTTACTGTTCTTAAAAAATCTAACTTTCATAGTCGAAGACATTTCTGTAGATCTTCGAAGGGAATGAAGATCTGCGTTTTGTTTCGCACACGACTTCGGAGGAAATGAAAAAAATTAGATTTCAAAATTGATATCATCGAAACTCTGAACCGAAAGAAAAATCATTCTTGAGAGTAATTAAAAATCTAGTTCGAGAGAACGGTTGATTCATAGAGAAAAAGAATAGAATGCAAAAAGCGAATACAAAAGTTCGAATAAAGAGGGGCAGAGAATTCTTCACGGAAGCGAAGGTTCTATTTGTGGCATTAGAGGGTGGTCGAAGAATCGTCGTCGACATGTTTTCACCATAAAAATACGTCGTGGAAGTCGAAAATCATCGAATATGGAGCATTCCCGGCCGCGATTGCACCGGCAAGCGGTATTTGTAACAGAACGGTATTATAGAGCGCAGCTACGGTGTGTGAATAGCGAGCACGTGCATTTCCCACAGAAAACCAATAGGGGCCTTGGCCAGCTGGGAATATGAACCGTGCAGGGTTCGGTCTGTCTTTCGGTCTTTTGGGGTTTGCGTGTTCTCGAACGGGGATAGAGACGGGAATACTACTCGAACGAACAATATTCAGACCTGAATGTATCGATAAAAGGGCACGACAAAGCATTCCTTATTCGACTTCCTGTGTTGGAACGTGTCTCGAAAAACGAGCGAGACTCGGGGACTACGAATCGACAGTTAAATCCGATCGCGTCCTTGTAGATCAGAATAATATCGCTGGGAAAATAAAAATCGAATCGGTTAGCTGCCTTTAGAGTCGCCATTCCTCGTTCTTACTTATCTCTTCCGTGAATTGTTTTACAGTTTCACGTTAACAGTTTTATGCGACATACTCGAATCGCAATAGATTTAAGTCTGTCGAGAAAATTGCCTTTCCGCGTGTGCGGCCGGTTTCGAAATCAAATATCGATGAACGAATATATTTATTAATATCCGTTTACAAAGGTATAGTTCGGCCGGAGCCGCCGCGTGTGTCGCGCGATTTAAGCCGATGACCTTCTCAAATAATTCAACGGTCATGAATAACTGTCCGTATATTATCGCTGCGCTGCAGAAAATCGAGAACGTAGCGATACAATCGATTACTCGTACGGAACCGTTCGAACACGAATTTGACCTACAAAGCGATATCTATATTGTGCCTCGCATCGATGTGTGTTTCACTCGTTACTGAATTCGTTTATCACGAATCGTTCCGATTTCGCCGTTCCGGTTGATAAACCGTCGACAAGTTGTCGGAAACGTTATTACCTTTTATCTTTAAACGTGTAATCGTAGCCGAACGATTCGCTAGTTTCGGGACTTTCTCACGATCGACTTAATTCATTTGAAAGATGAGAATTAGAGATGTTTGCTCTTCCTTCGACTAATTTCGGACGTTTTAATTCGATTGTTTCAGCACCTCGGTTATCGGTGAATCGCCCGAGCCGCGCGACTATAGTGCGTTTCTGTTTTTCCCGAAATTGGCAGCAAGAACAACATCAACAACGGCGGCGCTCGGCGTTGGGGTGCAGCCCGTGTTATCAGCCGGCTATCATAGCACGGTGCCACCCCAGAACGGGGGTGGTGGTTCGACATTTAGTGCCGCGGCGATGGTGGCAGCTGCCACCGCTACGGCCACCGCCACAGCCAGCGTGGTGGCCATGCAGGACCGCCAAGACATCCCCTCGCAATTCAATCAGGTACAGTTCGCTTCGTCTTCGTCTCTCAGTCTTTTGACCCACTCATCCATCATACGAATCGCTCCGGTATCGAATGTACATTACTATGTCTTCATGATTCTAGCTGTAATAAACAAAACCGAATTACACTATTCCCTGCCTATAATTGCGTCACTTGGGACGGACAACACGATTATAGAGAATAGTGGACACGTTTCTGCAATCATTTCACTGGTTATTTTGTTCCCTCCTTATTCTTTCGTAGCTCTCTTTCTTCATTCATCTATTTCATCACCGGCAAGATCGAAGCAAGATTCTCCAATTATCAACTAGCTCAATGGTCGATGAAGATGACGACGCGATCATAAGGAGGTCGATAAAGCGTGATTATAGAAAGGGAATTCTGTAGATTTAAGGTTCCTTTTGAATAGCAACTAATTAGCAGCATGACGTTCATTTGTTTATACATTCTGTTTTGGTTCCCTACTTGTTCTTACTGTTCTTGAGTTCGAATAAAGTGTCATACAGTCGTTCGATGTTTTACTCTTGGTGTATTATTGTTTCGTTGATTTTTTTTTGTTTCTCCCGTTGTTGTTTCTGATTTCTATAAATAGAAGTAATTGAAACGAATCTTGTTACAGATGCAGAGCCAACATGGAATACCCCACCAAACGTACAACGCAGGGTACGCCCAAAGAGGACCAATGGCCGGAATGGGGCCAGTCGGGATGAGCAATTTCAATAGCATGGGCACGATGAGCCCAATGCACTCTATGAATTCCATGAATTCGATGAACAGTATGAATGGCATGAACTCGATGAATCCTATGACGATGGGAGGTATGAACGGTATGAGTGGTATGAACGCGATGACACCCATGAACTCCATGAGTAACATGGGCAACATGGGCATGAACAATATGATGGGACCTAACAACATGCAGATGAACAAAATGAGTATGCAGGTACGTTAGGGAACACCAATTCATAGAGATATGCCACTTATGTCGGTATTACTCCACAGATACATAAGATCGCGCTTCCTTGATATTTTCAGGCTCAGCCTCATCAGGGTTATCCACGAAGATTAGCGCCTTACCCGAATCCTGCGATGCACATGGCGCAGAAGAGACAACAAGGACCGTACGCGAGTCCGAATCCAGCTGCGATGCAGCCGAGCTTCAACGGAATGGCGACGTCGCAATACCCGACCAATTACCCTGCAGCAGCAGCCAGGCCGAATTTTCAGCCTCAGTATCAGCCGATGCAGACCATGAATCCCACAGCCGCCGGCTTTGGGCCTAACTCGATGATACGAGGCACGAACATGAGGCAAACTGCGCCATCTTACAACACCACCGCTCAGGCAGCGACTAACCAATATTACAGTAGTAATGGTATACCAGTCAGCATGGGACCTAGCACGGTTGGCAATCAATTCGTTGGTCATCAACCGAATACGGGATACGCTGGAGGTGCGTCCTCGTACGGGGCGAGTGCCGCAGCGACCAGTCAGTATCAACAGGACGTTGCGGCGATGAGAACGACCGGAGCGGGGAGTTTGAATTACCAACACAGTCCTATCCCTGGTAATCCTACTCCCCCGCTCACGCCAGCCACAAGCATGCCCCCTTACATTAGTCCAAATCCAGATATCAAGCCCAATTTCAATGAGATGAAGTCACCGGTTAATATACAAAGTGAGTTCAATTTCCGTTTAACGAGTTTCTTCATTCGAATTAGATAAGCGATGTCCAATCGAAACTCCCTCTCTTCAGTTATCAGCACGAAGAAAAAGAGAGGTTGCTTCATCTGTGGACATCACTTCCTTAACTCTTTTAGCCTTTTTTAATTTTATTGTCACCATATTGACGCCATCGTCATCTATCTGATATCTAGTTCTAAAAATAGTAACTCAAAAATTCAAATATTCCAATAACTAAAAATTAATAGAAATTTTTCTTTACTTCTAGTTCTCCAAGGAGACTATTTTTAATATTCCTAAACGACATTGTCCATTGTAAAGTGAAATTAAGTTTTAAACACTAACGTAACATCTTGATTGTTATTCACAGAAGACGACGAGCTGAGATTAACATTCCCTGTGAGGGATGGCATCATTCTTCCACCCTTCCGCTTAGAACACAATTTGGCTGTAAGCAACCATGTATTCCAGCTGAAATCCACGGTGCACCAAACGTTGATGTGGCGGTCGGATCTTGAACTGCAGCTGAAATGTTTCCACCATGAGGATAGGCAAATGAACACGAATTGGCCCGCAAGCGTACAAGTTTCTGTGAACGCTACGCCGTTGGTTATTGATCGTGGTGAGAATAAAACGTCTCACAAGCCCTTATACCTGAAGGACGTTTGTCAACCGGGAAGGAACACGATACAAATCACGGTCTCGGCGTGTTGCTGTGTAAGAATACTTTCTTTGTCGAATTACAAGATTCACGGTTTCGTAAGTAGCGTATAATTAGATGTATAATTAATTAGCCATTTATGTTTTTTCAGTCGCATCTGTTCGTGCTTCAATTAGTCCATCGGCCGAGTGTGCGAAGCGTGCTTCACGGATTGTTACGTAAAAGGCTACTCACGGCGGAGCATTGTATAACTAAAATCAAACGGAATTTCAGTAACACTATTTCGAATAACGGAATACAGTCGGAGAAAGATGTGGTGGAACAAACAGCACTTAAGGTGAGATACATTTACTGGTTCAATTGAATCATGTATTCAAAATCTGTTATTGCGACTAATATTATTGTTTGATTATAGGTATCTTTAAAATGTCCTATCACTTTTAAACGTATTACACTGCCAGCAAGAGGACACGACTGCAAGCACATACAATGCTTCGATTTAGAGTCGTACCTGCAACTAAATTGTGAAAGAGGATCTTGGAGATGTCCTGTATGCACGTAAGTTGATTTACTGTTTTCATAATGATGAATCCATTTATATGAGTTTAACTTATTATGCTGACATTGTACGCACTTGTTATAGAAAACCTGCACAACTGGAAGGTCTAGAGGTTGACCAATATATGTGGGGCATTCTGAATACTTTGAACACCGCGGAAGTGGAGGAGGTAACGATAGACTCTATGGCTAATTGGAAACCAGCGAAGAACGTGAGCGGTATTAAATCCGAAGAAGAAAGTGATTGCAAGAGAATGACCAAGGCAATGTCACCTGGGAGTATGAACATGCCTACTATGAATAATTGGGATATGAATCAAGCAATGAGTCCGTATATACCACCTGACATGAGCAGCATTGTGAGCGGCTCTATGATGAACAATACACCATCTACATACACAAACAACAATATTAATCATAGGAATTCGTCGGGAGGATCTTTCGATATTAATACCGGAACGAATACAAACACCAATAACGATTACTCTAATGGAACGGGACCTCTTTCGCACTTGAACGAATCTGTTAACTCTCTAGACCCTCTTAACGCTATGGAAAAGTCACTGAACGATCAGGTAAATAAACAGATTAAATTGACTATGTATCTGTATTATCTTACAACGTTATTCGATGTTCTATAAATTACTATACCTATTTTTGATGTTGCAGATGCCGCATACACCACATACACCTCATACTCCTCACACGCCTCACACACCAGGTGGTGGTAACAGTGGTCCACCTAGTGTTCCTCCTGCATCTCAGGAATCTACAGGGAATCATAACACGTCTGGTAGTACGAGTACAAACATAAATAACGATACTGCAGACATACCGTCGGATTTAAATTTCGATCCGGCTGCAGTAATAGATGGCGAGGGTACGGGTCAGGAAGCATTGAATGTGAGTGCTAAAATCATTTGTATTCTTCCCTGTTGTAACAGGATTGACAATTATATATTGGGGCTGTATGAAACCAATTTATGTTTTATTTTACAGCTCTTGCCAGACAATGTTGTGGATCCAATGGAATTACTTTCGTATCTAGATCCTCCAGATCTGAATACCCCTCCCAGCAGTGGCGCTAGCAGTGGAAACCCCTCATCGAGTGATGATATATTGGCACTTTTCGAATAAAAGAAACAAACCAGAATCTTTTAGAGGAATAATCAAATCACGACCCTGACATTCAGAAAATAAGTAAAGAAAGCGATTAACAAGTTTGCATATACTTCCTACGAATATAATTCAAACCTGAACAAAAATATTTGTAGCGGAGGATATTGAAGCGTATTGGGGTCACACTGTGGGTGCTTTCACCTAATTCAATGGTACAAACAATCTTAGCTCTAATTATATAATATTCCTATTGACGAAGTTAGGGCATATTATTAGATTTAAAGGAAGAAGAAAAATGTGAAACAATGACTTCTAATTAAATAGTGGAAAACGAAGCACCGCCGTAGCGTGCTTGTTTGTAAAGATGTTATTGCACGGTTTACGTTTTTAGTCCTTGATATTGGGAATTTTTATTTCCAATAGCGACGCGTTCTAACATTGTGCCGGGCATATGTTCCAGAACTGATTCACCGAGTACCACAATTATATTAATTGTGTTCAAATGAATATAAATACGAATTTTTTAATACCAAATGTAGAGCAATCTTTTCCATACGAAGTTTTACATACGGTTTAAGGTTACAAACGTATTTGTTTGATACAGTAAATGTGCGATACGATCGATGAACTTATACATAACATATATTTTATATACATTGCCATTGGTCCAGCTCTTGATTCAGAAATAAGTTTTTACACGGACAATATTCTGAAAACATACTGGAATGTTCACGTTAATTACGTACGATAGATGAACCCAACATCCTTTTCGTCGTTGAATTTTTACGAATCGTATAGCACATTTATAGAGGTTTTACATAAAAATATGGGCTTCAAGCTCATCATGTGCACAATATTGACATAATTGTAGGAAAAGAAGATAATTATTCTTAGCGTACCTTCAGAAAGTGTAAACGTTCTTAACGGATTTATGATTTTGGAATATTTGCTTGACAAAATGTGCTGTGCTACTTCAAAGGCTTCAATTTGAAAAAAATTCCCTGCAATACGATCTTTACCTCAAATACCGGTCTACTCGCATTCAAGGCTATGATGGACCTACATCACAACAGAATTACGATTGTACAGTAACTTTTGTAAATAAGTTTTAATCGAAAATAGATAAGGCGTTCATCTGTTGTGAACCACCCTGCTTATTGATGGATATAGCGCATATAGTGTTCCTTTCCTTTAGATAATTAGTAACAACAGATGAAAAAAACAATAATCGAGGGCATCGGGCTTCACACTGGATTCTATGTAATATTTCTAATGGTGTATCTTCGAAGCTTTTGAATTGGCGCAAACGTGTATCTCTTACTGCGAGAAAACAATATTTGTTTTGAATCATTTGTAATTTGAAACTAATAAAAACAAATTGAAAAGTTCTTAACTAACATTATAAATATGTAGTAAAATACTACAATGTAGTAAGCAAAATTTCTGGAGTTACACCAAAACCAATAATAATAGTTT